GACGCTCCGGATGTGCGGCAGCAATGCCGCACAGCGTCACGACGCAGGTCCACGTTACTTTTCTCTACCAACGGCTGACTATTCACACTGTGGTGATAAAAAGTTCGCTCGTGTCGAAGCATATTGTGCGAATGTACGGTGTGAAATCCCCATCGGGACATGTGCTCAAAAAGTGCTCCCGTTTTGCGTCGCATAAACTGTCAACCAGCTGTATCAAAGGAAGCATCGCTACAAATTTTGTTGATGGACCGTATCAACAGCATGGATTTGTAGCTGACAGGTTATATTTGCTTTTTAACCTGGCACAATGGGTTGAACTACATTCATAGAAACATAAAATGTATTAACAATAGCATAACCACCTGACCAATCCACTGGTGTTTTCCGCCAGCAGTGATATTTATCGTCCTTGGTTTGGAAACGGTAGGGAGAGGGACGGATGGCATCGGCTCCTATCGGTCTGCGTTGTGGAAAAGGGCCATGAAGGAAGCAGATGAAGGTGAATACCACTTCACCAAAATGTACCATGGGGGCCATTGTTTTCACTTGATAAAAAGCATACAGACTATGCAAACTTCCCCTCATGCAGTCATGTTTAACGGGAGTATCCCACCGTTTTTGCACTTTTCACTTATTGTTGCACTAGGCCTGTACTGATTGACCAGTGCCATCAGTTTTCTCGGAATTTTTCTGAACAGCTTATAATTTGTATTTGCAGTAGCTGAACCTGCGGGAGAAATCTCACTTGACTGCCCTCTCATCACCATGAAAGTAATACATTTCATTTGCCTAGCTTTTCCCAACATGTGCGCTGTCATGTTGGCAACACACCGTTGTGTTCTGTTGGATACACTGCCACGTGGACATCGTGGGTAATGACTTCGCCGACCCTGCGGCAAAACGAATAGTGCGCACACCTTGCGCCCGCTCTTCAGCCCTGTCGGCACAGGAACTTTCACCCTGTCATAGCAACATCAATGAAAGGAAGACGTCGCAGGAAATAAGAAGCCGGATGCCATCAAGCCACAGATAAGCCTATGGTCGTCGGGCTTACACGAAACGAGGCGTAAAGAAGTAGTCCTTGCAGTATACAAATTGGTCACACGAGCAGGACACATGGTTATCTTCTATACGGTGAAGACCACCCTCACTGCCTCCATTGCGATGCGCGGCTTGCGGTTTACCACATCATTTACTCGTGGCTACATTTCAATGAAGAGGGGTCACTTTATTTTGGACGAGATGCTTCAGGTCTTATGTATTACGCTATTGGCGACAATTCTTGCGCTCCTGCGATTACTCAGCTGTTTTCATTTTCGACAAATGATTTTGTATTTTTACACGCCTCGGTAGTCGTCTTAACTGTTATGGGCGCAAAATGGGCGCAAAATCGAACTGTTATGGGCGCGAATCGAGAGCCTTATCGATTCCTAGAACCTCCAAACTATGGAGAGGTGACATGCGGCCTCCCGGGCTGGCCTGGGCTGGGAGACGTCGTCTCCGCTTCTGAGGTATCCGCCAACGAGAGTGCACAAGCTGCTTGCAGGGCCACTTTTGACACCGTAGCGTGGCGGCAGCCGGGCCCGCACGACATAGCTGTAATCAGAGCTGTCACAGAGGTGGACGTTACCGACGTCTCTCGATCTCGCCGCAGCTTCTTCAGGCAGATCAGCACAACGTCGTACGGCAACTGCTACGTCTTCAACGGCAACATCTCCGACACTGGGGACCAGATTGCGGGGCGCCGCAACACAACCCTGACAGGAGCCGACTACGGTAAGCCCGCTGCTCTGCGCATTCTGCCCTGCGCCTTGCAGACATTCTGCTGCCTCTGTAAGCAGACACAGCGTTTAATAGAAGCAGTGAGAGCAGCACTGTCTGCATGGCGCAGTCCACGGCGATCCATGGTGAGCAGTGGCTTCCTTCGTTCATGGTATTCGATGCCATGGGAACATTGCGACAGGAAGTGAGTTAGGTCATCACTCTGATATTGGCTGTACATCTTTATTGTTAAAAAGAACCACACAGCTTGCAGATCACGACTAGGTTACGATTTGCATATTAGCGGATCCCATGCATAATTTGCCTGTGCAGCAGAAAACTTCGGCTTGGTATCAGAACTAGTCGCACTTTAAGCACGTAATCAAGCGGTGATCTTAATAGAATTACCCAGATGGACATGCACTTTGAAACGGTTTTCTTTTTATGTTTATTGAACCAATATGAAACGCGGTGCACTGCATTTAACTGCAGCATCAGGCCGCACACGTACTTTGACAATCCAGATCAAAACCAGCATGAGTCCGCAGAAAGTTCAAAAGCTGAATATACCTGAAACCAATGGAACCCCGCGCTCCCCCCCCCCCCCCCCCTGCCGCCCCCCGTCCCCCAGGCCCACACTCTCGTTTGGCGTCGCAGATGACTCCTAACAGGAAGTTAAAAATCAGGGTGATAATGTCCCACTGAGCCCCGCGTAAGAAGACCCAACGCAATGCTGGAGATACCCCAACCCAAGGGACCTCAGGCTGTCCTTCGCAGCGCCAAGATAATCCCAAGGAGTACGTGAAATGTTTTAGTGTATGTTTTCACGACATGTCGTATGTTCTCATCTATTCGAAATGTAAAGCATTTCCCATGATGACATTAACCGTTATGCCCACAGGCTTGACGCTGGTGTTGTATACGAACACCAATGACTACATGCCGTCGACGGTGTCCCAGACGGTAGGCGCCCGCGTCACCATACACAGCAGTGACACGCTCCCGCTGGTGAACGAGGCCGGCATGAACATCGCACCTGCCAGTGTCAGCTCCATCTCACTGAAGGAGGTAACAGCTTCACACGCACACACACACACACACACACACACACACACACACACACACACACACACACACACACACACACACACACACACACACACACACACACACACACACACACACACACACACACACACACACACACACACACACACACACACACACACACACACACACACACACACACACACACACACACACACACACACACACACACACACACACACACACACACACACACACACACACACACACACACACACACACACACACACACACACACACACACACACACACACACACACACACACACACACACACACACACGCACACGCACACACACGTCAGGATAGAGATCTGTTCGTCCCGAGGTTACGCATCGCTTTGAAAACGAGGCGTTTGTGATGTTGAGCTGTCACGCAGTACAATACCTTTACCATGACCCGTGACCCGACGCAGTTTCCTACTATGAGCTTTGGTTGTGCCCAGAAACGCCACATAGTGCATGGAAGTCTGCCCTGAACACGGAATGACTCGCACCATGTACAAAGGCGCAACCGTGTTTATGTTAAAGTGTGCGTGCGCTCGTGCGCGCGCGTGCGCGCGAATGTGCGTGTGTGCGTGCGTGCGGGCGTGTGTACGTGCGTGCGGGCGTGTATGTGTGTGTGTGTGTGTGTGTGTGTGTGTGTGTGTGTGTGTGTGTGTGTGTGTGTGTGTGTGTGTGTGTGTGTGTGTGTGTGTGTGTGTGTGTGTGTGTGTGTGTGTGTGTGTGTGTGTGTGTGTACGTTAACACGCGCTCGGGTTGGGGTCAGATTGACCCCCCGAAGGTTTTTCCAAAATGATTTCCGAACAACGCGATGCAGCCGCGCCAAATTTTTATAATTGTAAACAATTGAACAGCGGATCGCTTGATATAAAGAATTAGATGTACCTTGTAAGATCGCTGACCTATGGCAGGTCAAAGTCAGGCCATGGTTTCAGCGAAGGCATTTTTTAGGGAATCGTTCAATCTGATGCAACAACGGAGTCTCTGACGAAGCCATACATCTCTGAGATGCTTTCTCAGGCAACACAAATGTTGATTGAGCAAATTACGTTAATCTAAGGCCGAGTATGAGGGTCAGACCATGGTCAAAACCAACATGTTTTCTGACTCTAGAGATTTGTGTACGGGATAGTTTCTGGTGCTCATTTCGAATTTGTTGATAGCAGTAACCGCATTATACATTCCCCATCAAGTTCTTAGAGGTCAGAATAGGTATTGGCCAAAGATGACCCTGGTCGACATTTTGTTTTTTATAAACATACTGCCTAGCGTGATCTTTGTCGCTTTCTCAAATACAAAAGTCAGAGTAATATTGTATATCTTTTGTCAACAGAACTTTCAAAAGGTCACACAAGGTCACTGACCTTAAATGAGCTCGTGGCCTTTTGCTTAGAAACAGTTATTTACGTTCTGGGGGCACTTTGGAGACCAACCCGGAATTTGATCTTGTTTGACCTTCTTTGACCCGAAGGTCATGACCTAGGAACCGAAAGCCTTGACCTAAGTGAGTTCACGTATAGGTCAACACACCCTATAAATTTGGTGCCTCTATCTTTCTTAGTTCCCGGGATCTTAGCGGGATCCAATGGAACCCCCACTCGAGCGAAGAGTATCTAACCGGCCACCCGGGCGCATGTCAAGCAGTCCTCGTTTGGTGAGCGCTGAACCGTACATAAAATTTCCGGGCCAACGGCAAGAATGTGCGGCGAAAGCTTAACGTGCCACGAAGCTCGGCGCGGTCCATCCTGCCCTCTAACGTTACCTTACCTTTAGTGGGGCCAGTGCCACCGTCCGCAGGCTATCCCAGTCGGGGAAAAACAGCGAGCGTCTACAGGGACTCGAAACCAACGGCTACAGCTGTGTGAATCGGAAAACAAACGCTCTAACTGGATGAGCTATCGGGAGGGACTAAATTACCCTGCGAGACGTGACTATTTTCTGTATAGTTCTGCGGTGTATCTTCTATCTGGTTTTACTACAAAGGTATGGGGAATGGAAGGAATGGAATCGAGTAATGGAATCGGCAAATTGTGTGCGGTTTATTCCAGACCGAAAGAAACATGCGGGGTGTGTTGATCGACTTTTGCGAAGAAAGCGGCTTTCCTCAATACAGCCAATGCCTTTTTATAACGTCGCTTAACCGATGCCTCCTGGTATCTCGAAGCTCCATTATTTTGAACATGAAAACCCCCTACTCATCACCCCGAAACACAGAGGTCGTTAAACACCAAATTATAGGTCGTTCTTGCTTAACCAACTACCAATATGTGGCAAAATGTTGGACATGATGCTTCATAACATAGCCAGATTGGAAACCGTGCGGTCGCCGGTACCTTACCCATATACTGTCTCTCCAGTTAGCAACATGTTTGTTGAAAAGGTCGTGCAAGCTCAGTCTTAAATAAAACCACGCTTCTTGCGCATCAGACCACCTTCGATGAAGGATGAAGGGCAAATATTTTCGTTTGTTAGAATGCTGGAATTACTTACATGTTTTTCTGTAACTCTCATCCCATCCAAACCTTTTACAAACACGCAGCTTCACGTTGCGCTGAAATGGGAAGTGAATGGTCCGGAGCAAAACCTTTGGAATTAACAAGATTTTTATTTTAAGTGTTCTAACTGCGGGACGCAGATAGAGACGTCTAGATCCTGGGAGAAACGAGATATTGGGAGCAGGTTACCGGCTGACATAACTTGGTTTTGTCAACTTTATCGGCTCAGCGCTTCAATCAATTTGAGAAAGTGATACCTCTGTCACTCGTTTTTAAGCGATCCATCCTGTTGGTACGCCCGCTACACTACATCGTACTCGAAATAGTGTTTTCATGCACAGGGTTAGGACCCTGATGTCCGCGTATTCATACTATTCGCATACTAAAACACAGGTTTTTGTCGATTCAGGCTCTACGTCTGCAGAAGCAGGAGCCGAACCAGTGTTGAAGGGAATGCTCCATGTATGTTTGACCATTAATAGCCTTATTCCCCGTAGAATAACCAGGAGAAAGGAGAGATAGACAGGCTGTCTCACTGACTATTAATATAGTTGTATGACGTTTGTATGACTCCTGGTTATCTCACGAGGAATAAGGCTGCTAATACTGCCTTATCTATATGCGCAATGCTCCTCGCAAATGCGCTTTACAATTTACGGAATGTTCTGTATTTGAAGGTACTGAAGCGAGCATGACATATGATGAAATAAGTTTTCTTAAAACTATTGGTATACTTTAAGTGGACAGGATTGCTCTAGACAACACAATTTTTTTATTGAGAAAATTGTATGCTCCTTAATACGTCATTGATTGTATCATGAAGCGTTTGCATGACGTTGGGGTGCTGCCAAACTAGCCGTGCGGAATTGCCACCCTAGCGTTCACTTGTGGCACTTCAATTCGCTGAGAGATGGCGGAGACGGTGCTGGAAGTGCTTGCTGAGCCAAGAAGCGTCATGGGCTCGTGTTTTGGTTTCTTCTAGTAGTGTTCTAACATCTTCATCCACGAGATGTTAACGCAAATTCAGATTCTCGGTTATGGCGCTACTCTTAACTTATTTCATTATTTCCGTGATAACTAGGAACCATGTCAAAATTCTAATATGATGCAGCACAAAACGTGATTCGTAATTGCAACCTACACAGCGTGCTCAAGAAAGATTGAGAGCCAATTGGCGTCAACTATATTTGGAAATCGTGCTCACGGACGCCAGATCCGAACGTCTGGATAATGATGTTCTTTTTTACCTTGAACACCACATGGTCTATGGGCTGGCAGGATCTTAATGGCGTTGCCATAGCATCATGCATGCCCTAATGGCCCTGAAATAGCACGAAATAGTTTGCACATGTTTGCGGGCGTATAGCTCAGAAGCTAGAATGTTTGGTGTCCAAAGAAGGTATAAGGCCTGTGGGCTGCACCAAGTGATCTTCAAATGACTATTTCAGTTCCAGGCCCTATACAAATGTGGGACACTCCCTTTAACACTGGGCGTCGTTTGCCGGTGCTTGCAGTCTGGGATAATCCGTCAGGAGTATCCATACCACAGCAACTGCTACCGCCGATGGTCGCAGGTCGAAGTCGAGCCCGTCGTCGTCGACGAGAACACGGGCGCAGTCGCCCCCACCGGGCAACGCTACAGTCTCCCCGTGAGTTTCAGTGGACCTCCGGTCTGCCCCAACCTGCCCCAACCCGCAACTTCATGAAAATCTCTGGCGCTCACCAACCCATTCAGACCATGTGGTAATTGGTGCCGCAGGGTCGCTTATGCTTCATTTTGCGCGAGCTGTGGAGAACGGAATCAGAAAATGGAAGGGAGCTCAGGGCGTTCAACAGATGGTTGGTAGCTCCCGAGTCTCGCGGCCTCGTACCACCCAAACTCCCGGGTCGTGTAGTCCGCCATAAAAGCAAAGGATTGCCAGCATTTTGAAAGTTGACAGCCTTCCGCGGAAAATTGGGATTCACGCCAGTCAAATTCTGGAGGAACTGTGCGATAGATCTGCGCCTGTCCCATTGAACGCCACATTTGCCTACACCATCCTTGCATTTTTAAATTTAGCACAGGGCTGTAGTTTTGTTCCAGCCAACCGAACGAACCGAAAGTTCATAGTCAGGCCCATCCCACATCGGCACTGGTCTGAATGATGTTATACACTTTACATTCTAAGTTGGGGTCAGGTTAGGTCAGGTCAGGTCAGGTTATTTATTCAGTCCAGTCCAGTCAGTGTGAGGTCTAAGCGAGGGGGAGCCGAGCAATATTGCGGGGCCAGTCCCGACCGCCGTCCTGGCTATGACGCGGCTACACGTCCCCAACTACAACCAAAGGGCCCAATCCCGAGGTGTGCTCCGTCCCAATCCAGTGTGTCCTATCGCCAGGAATGTCAACGGATCTGCCTGCAGTTGAATATAGTGCGCGCGTGCGGCTGCCATCACATCCTGTACCCGCTAGACTTCGCCGTGCATGGGAAACGACAGGTCATCGGAGAAGCGTGCGATCTCAGCCATAACTGTGAGCGGGCTGACCGGCTTCTTCGCTGGACAGATCACGACGGCTTAAGCGAAGCGGGCTTTGTGTGGGGGGAGGGGAGCCGGTGGTGAGTGTATATACATGGCGTCGTCGTGCTTTCGTCTTTATCCTATCGCCTGGTACTCGATCCCCGTGTGATAAATCTTTGGCACGATGTTGTCTGATGTGTAGAATGACGTGAGTTGGGAGTGCGTGATATGTGAACCTTCATTTTATCTTGTGAGTGCTTACTTTCACTGCCCCGACAGAGCTTATCAATCAGTTGTTCCGCACAGCGTCAAGTGCCTCATCGTAACATGGTGAAATTAGCAAATTAGTTGCGTACAAATCAACTCACCTTATTCGCTCAATGATACACGTACCTCTGTAAAGCCCTGACCGCACCAAGAGACCCGTATCTGTTCAGGCTTCCCCGTTCACTGCAGCAGTACAAGATCAAGCATGCCAATAGTAGATGCTATGCAGCGGTATCCAAAGGGACATCCCGCCTTTACGCACAGAAGCGGCAGTTCTAACACGAAACGATAGGTAGCGTCCTGGTCGGCGTAAGCGACCGGCCATGCCAATGCCGACGATGCCCATCCCGACAATCACCCATCCTTGCATCCTCGGCGTCTACCGCGGTGCCAAAACCGGACACCCGCGCGTTCCGCGCATGCTTGGCGTCAGGCCGCGCCGGCGGCACACAGCGAGGTCGGTGCGGCGTCGGCGTCCACTGAAAAGGAAGTGAGACCTCTCATCAGTCTCCTCTCTGCATGCAGCGCTGGACAGCAACTGCACGGATTCGGTGGCGAGAAGCATGAGCATGGACGCCAGCTCCGTGGAGTGCGGCTGCTCAGCAGCCTGCGAGTGAGTCCGCAATGATCGTGGCAGTCGATTATCGCCATCAGCGCTCCCGAGGGTTAGGTGACCAGCGTCTGACAGCCCGCAGTCTGCGCCGGCCAGTGTCGGGCAGGCCCGGGCTGCAGCGACGCGCGCGCGTCCCATGCACTGGTCGTCGGCGTTGTATGCTGTGCTGAGTGTGGTCATGTTGACATCATGGCCCCAGCGGAGTAGACAATCAACTAGTTGACCTCTGAAAACATATCCATGAATTTAGGTGCCTTTGGTTATTGTACACGATGGTATTTACGTATGGCAAGACGGTGTAAATGGGCTGTGGGATCATAAGAAAGTATTACATATGATGAAGATAAAGCGTGACGTAACGTTACCTTGCATTTTGCGAGAAACCCTGCGCGTATCATATTTACGAAGGCACCCACAATCACCCTCACACCATAATGAAACGAATGGGCCGGAGTCCTCATACTTACGACGGCACCCACAATCACCCTGGCACCATAATGAAACGAATGGGCCGGAGTCCTCATACTTACGACGGCACCCACAATCACCCTGGCACCATAATGAAGGCGAATGGGCCGGAGTCCTCATACTTACGGAGGCACCCACAATCACCCTGGCACCATAATGAAACGAATGGGCCGGAGTCCTCATACTTACGAAGGCACCCACAATCACCCTCACATCCTAATGAAACGAATGGGCCGGGCTTCTCATACTTACGAAGGCACCCACAATCACCCTGGCATTATAATGAAACGAACGGGCCGTGGTCCTCATACTTACAAAGGCCCCTGTTGCGTGTGGAGCGTGTCACGATCCTGGCATCACACTGCTACGAATACGCCGGGGTCTAGTTCGTGAGTTTCATTGCCAGGTGAAACCCGCGCTTTGGTGCTGCCGTTGGTTGCGATGTACGCGCATGTCACAGATAGAAAGGGTCGTGTTGGCGAGACTGGCGCTGAGCAAGGTCTCCTGATGTCTCTGTGAGTGGTTTTAGAGGTTAGAAACATCTAAAATATTCTGGAATTTGGAGTTCCGTCCACGCGGCAGCTGCGTGCGTGCCGGCTGTTAGCTTGCTGTGATTGGCCTAGCCACATGACTTGTGGTAAGGTGAAAGACGCGGCGTCAACGGGCTGGTAGTCGTCTGCCCGCACCGCTGAAGGTGAGAACCATGCTGATTACCCTGTGCATCCACCGTCGCATTGCTATGACGCTCCGGTCCAGTTGGACTCCGCAGTGGTGTGACGTAACTGGTCCCATGCACACTGCCCCCCCCCCCCCCCTCCATCTCTTGAGCCTTGTGCTCATGTCCGTCAAGTTAGCGGCGTACTTGTATTCCATTTCAGTATAGAGTTGAGTTTTCCAAAGGCAGTCTTCCCAGGTCAAACTCATTGCATGATCTATGAATCTGCAACACACTAGTTATCTTCAAATAAATATGGCACCCTTTTACGGGTACTTTTTGTTACACTTTTCATCAACGAAGAAATGTCAGTGTAACAAATTGTGTGTGACCTTGAACTTTGACGCTGAGAGCGAGTTTTTTACGTTTCACAAAAGTGGACACAACAAGGTTCAATATGATACCCATTTTATTGAATTTCTTCGCGATAGACGAAGAAATGCCGGGGTACCCAACTTTTGACCTTTTATTGACCTGCATAGATCAAACTAAGTGACGTAGAAAAAGGAGGATTTCATATTCACAAATGACTCAGTGGGCTTGATCTGGGAAGTCTAGCTTCACTCAGTTCGTCGTGACCTTGTGCTCGTGACCACTCCGTCGGTGTTTTGGAGCCGGGATGGGCAGGGCATTCGGTATGCCGTGCGCGGGCAATTGCTGGGAATGGCAAACACGTGTATTCTGCCAGGTGTCTGTTACGTGTAGGGATCAGCGAACCGTTCACACGTGCGCCGCTTGCGTGGATGTGGCGATATACTTGATGGCTGCCTGGCCACTGGACCAGTAAATACAATGGCTCGCTGAACATCTTTACCTTTGCCTGAGAGAGGACAAACGTGACGTGCGAACAGTGTTACAATACATGAATTTTGTGTTCGGTGACTGGACGCTGCTCCTGTCGACGACCCGTCACGCTGTGCGCTGGTCGCTGACACCGGCCCGCTCGCGTCCGTCGCCAGAGAATGGAACCACCAGCCTCAGCTGTCCGTCGCCAAATGGCCGCAGGGCAACTTCCTCACCACGCTGCTCAAGAAGACCGCCTTCGTGCCGCACAGTGACCTCCTGGACAGCGAGGCGTTGGTCCGCTGGTCGGGCGAGTTCTTGAAACTGAATGTCTACTACCGTGACATCAGCAGTGACATTGTGCAGGAGACCCCGACCTATACGGTGCGTGCCATCGAGAGCCCGACCTATACGGTGCGTGCCATCGAGAGCCCGACCTATACGGTGCGTGCCATCGAGAGCCCGACCTATACGGTGCGTGCCATCGAGAGCCCGACCTATACGGTGCGTGCCATCGAGAGCCCGACCTATACGGTGCGTGCCATCGAGAGCCCGACCTATACCATCGTGCCAGAGAACAGCCCTCCTACCTGCAGTCAGTGCTACCCGCGTGTGTGCGCATTCAGCACGTCTTAGTCCATTTGCACGATTTACATGTGTTGCGCAAAACTCACACCGTGTCGGATGGAAAAAGCAGGAATATGGGCACAGTCGCTTCGCTTCGTTCTAAGGTCATTTCTAGCTTTCATACCAGAAGTCCTGAGATTTAATTCTTTACGGGTAAAATTAAATTGCGACCGGTTTGTCTTCGCTGTCTGCTAAAAGCTCGTCAAGTGAGCGAGCAATGATGCATTGATATACACAAGTGTATGACTGGATCAGATACAAGGTTAACTGCAACTAACAAAATGCCACTTCCTTTTTAGTACAACACGTTGATCAGCAACCTGGGTGGTGCTCTCTCTCTCTACCTCGGCATTGCACTGATCCTGCTGGTAGAAATACTGGAGTACTTATTCTTCATGGTTCTCAACACGTCTCTGTTTATCTACGGCCACCACCGGGTTACGGATCAGAAAAATAGCGTAGAGAAGCTGACTCCGAGACCGGTGGTCCCTGGTGAGTCATTTGAAGCTCGAGCTGGGGTGCCCTGGGAAAATATTAACAATTTTTTTGTGAGCTCTGAGGTTTGTGCTAGCCTGCAGGGGTAGCTTCTGCTTTGAGGTCTCGAAAACCGCCCGTCCACTTGTTATAGGAATAACGTCATATGACTTGCCTGAACAATACTTTGTTCTCATCTTGATGTTGCTCAAAACTTCAAACTTTTGCAAGTGGAAGGTCAGGAAATGAATATGAAGTGGGATTCACCGTTCCCATGCCAAACAATCAGTTTGCATGGGGCAAACGCCCCATGCAATATAACGTATTAGTTAAATAAATTAGAACGGCAGCTGAGGCCCAGTTCACTGACCAGATGCTTCGGTAATGGGTACACGGATGAACGAAACATAGATCATGTATCAGAGGCCTGATTTTCTAATGGCGAGTAAGAACTCCGATGAAAAGTTGCCGGAAACAGGCTATTCAAAATATCTGACCTACTTGAGAATAACACCAGAAAGCTGTTTTCTAGTCTGAATTATTCGTGGTGCGCCTGGTTAAGTATGTGTTTAGTTGTGTTACGTCCATTTAAGATGAAACTCTCTGGCGGCACCTCACCAACTGACTTTAGGCGCGAAGAAGCAAACAGTCGCTACTCTACCGCAATTGCTGTAAGTTGCGACTTAAAATCGCCGCGACACATAGCGCCTATCCCTGCTAACTGCCTTCGCATGGTATAGCCGGCCCCTGCTCACAAAACTCGGCGCTGTATCCGGCTCGCTGATCGCAATCACATTTTACAGCATTCTGTGCTCTAACGCAGTCTGGCACTGGCCCTCAGGCCGCGTGTTCCAGACAACAGAGCCGACCTTGAGGATAGCGGTCAAAAGGAAAGGTCAGGTCCCGCACTGAGGACCCAGCATGGATCAAGAGGCTGTTCCAACAATCAAGGAGCAATAAATGACGAACGTTCGCTGTCTGGAGGAGCGAATTCTACTGGACAGAAACACGGATGGCATTGGGTTGACAAACGGATTCAACTGAGCGGAAAAACGGATGGTAGTGGTAAACGACCATCAGTCGACAGCTTTACCCTGAAAAATTCTCCAGAATGGCACTCGGCACTTGTCACCACGGATGATTATCGGATAATTCCTCATAATTTGCAGAACATGGTCGAGACCGATAACCTTTTTTGCCCTGCCCAGCTACGATCATTGGCTATGCATGGCATGTGTGAGACGAAACTTGGGATGATATTTGAATCTATTGAACGCACATGGAGAATCTCGGAGGATGCTCACTCGGGAAATGATCATTGGCTGGCTGATTCTCCCTGGGCTGGGCGCATCATTAATTTAGTGAACTATACCCCGACAGCAAATTGTTCCGAAAGATGGCATACGGCTTGCTATGGATTGTGTTGTATTATGTTATATATTTACAAGACGCATTCCATCATGGTCATGGCTTTTCCAAGTCGCAGTGGCACGCCATCGCTAGTTCTATCAGACTCGATTAACTTATTTTGAAAAATGTGTCCATATGTTCCTTGATGTTTGTTGTGCTCCATATTATTCTATGAATTGGATTTTTGTTGAAAACTCTGGTTGTGCGTCTGCACGTGTGACTTTTTGAAAGGTTTGTACTGCATATTTCTTCACGAAATGTACGCACCGCTTTGATCTTGTATTTTAAATGTTATGCCTTTAAATTCTTTCACCAATAGTAATGTTTGAGTCTCTTCTGATTTATATATTTTTTCTGGTAGTACAACACTTAAAGATCTTAGCCGCTTGGCACGCACATATGTGTATGATCAATATTTACAGTAAACCCTTTTTTATTTTTGTGGAAACTCTTCCGGTAGTACATGTACGTGACCAAGGACTTGACCTGGACATATTATCCTAGTGGAAATTTGCTAACTTCTAAGTGCCCTCTAAGTCATGAAGGTAATTCAAACATTCTCAAGAATTACCGTAATCTGAATTGCAGGCCACCGTAGCACCGTAGAGAAAGTTGCCGTAAGGCAGCCTTTTCTCAGCCTCACTTTGCGTTGTCTAGAGGACACCCTACATGGCGTATGACACCTGCTAATTGCATTTATTGAAAACTTTGATAGACCCTTCCGGTTTTTCATATGGCTTTTGCTCTATATCTATCGCAGTATTCTCCAAGTTGCGCTATTGCACTACAGCCGTGAATAAATTGTATTTCGTGATATGTGTGTACTGGCGAGAACATGATGTCGACTGGGATGAGGGCCGGAGAATGCACTTGGTAGAGATTGAGGAAAAGGGAATAGTTCGTTCGGACATGACAAGGCCGTTAGTGTTGACCAGCTTGTGCCCAAACTAGCTGGCTCGCTGGGAGGACGTGTGATGACTTTACGGGGTAACGCGCTGAGCTAACCTGTACAGCCAAGTGGAAGGTACTGCTGTGAATAACTCCAACAGAGATGGCTACCTTTTCTTTGCATCAAAATACAGGGTGCTTCGGCGAAGTCAATAAAAAACAATGCAGTTGATGCATGCGTTTGTTAGCATAACGCAATGTCGCGCCAATTAGCTATTCCCTCTTAAAGATATGAAGATTGCAAAAGTAATGCACATACCTATCTAAAGCGTTAGCCTATGCATTTCGCCACAAAACGACTAAGACCATCTCAATTTTACACCCTCAGGGCTTTGATTTTGTAAAACCGTTAACAAATTAATCGTGTCATCTTAGGCCCTAAAGGCAGCTGTGTGAATCCTAGGCCTCTCTGGGCAGCCGTTACCGAGTTAGGGCCTCGGGCATTTTCAAGAGGTCATGCTGTAGGCCTTTGATGGGTCATAACGTAGAGCCAAATTATCCGAATCGATAACACTTACATATCGGTGGGCTCAACATTATGTGAGGGGACATTTCGGCCTTGCAAATTTTTTTCTATTTCAGTTGTTTTTTCTTACTTTTTCGTATGACGCCCGTTTATGGAAGCGACCCGGTTTTGACCTTGAGCCATTACACTTGTTGGTTTGTTGTACCTCTTCGGCTTTTTGTACCTGCTTGTTGTTGGTTTGTTGTAGCTCTCAAAGGCGCACGGCTTACAGAAAGACCCAGCGGCCAGATATGACAACATGGCACGCCTCGTAATTGCGTCCGATTAATCTAATCTAGCGTAGCGGCGTGACGATACCGAGTGATGTGGAGTTTGCACCGGTGGCTGGTGCAATGGCAGCCAGCAGCCAGCAGCCAGCAGCCAGCACCTCGTGGCCCAGGAAGGCGATCCAGCCGGACCGGCTAGACCTAGCCACAGACCGCAGCGATGCGTTCCGCGCGTGGGAGACAGGTGGGAGCATTTCCACCTCTTCGCTGGTGTCTGGAACATGGAGCCGAGGATCAAGATGGCCGTCCTCCGTCCTCGTCCTTGTGCCTGACTGACAGCAGGAGCCGAGCCGTCTGAAATCTGCCGCTCAAAAGATGTGGAACGACAATACATGACTGTTTTACTTGGACACATGGAAGCTTGCGCTGTTGAATAGGTGAACGAGGGTCCTTAATGGGATGGAAAACGCCTTAGTGGCAGAGCTCAGGGTGAGCAAGAGACCTTTGATGTTTTTCTCACTTGCCTTCGTGACTTGTATGGAAAGTGCAGCTTTTGCCCATCGTGTAATGAGGGACTGATCCAAGGTCGCATCGATGTGGGTCTGAGGTCCGCAAAGATTGTCTAAAGGCTCTGCGCAATACGGAGACCGTCTCCGTCGTCTGTCCCCTGCGTAAGTCTCAAGAGGCTGCTTTCAGAGACGCCTCGGAGACTCAAGACAGCGGTTCATCCATCACCGGCATGCTCTGCCACGAGACCACGGGCGGCGACTGCAGCGGCGGATGCGGCGGCGCACCGTCTCCGACCGCAGCAGGCACGGCGTGGACTGAGGCCTGCCAGAGCACGCCAGTCCAAATCACTGCGCCGCACGCCACCGGCGGGGGTCGAGCGGGTCTGATGTCGAAACTGCGGGGTACCTGCACCGCCGGACTGGCGACTGTCCGGCCGACGGCAGTGAATGCCGCCTCTGTGGCAGCACCGGCCACTTCGCCAGCGTCTGCCGATGTCCATGTCGTTCACTTTATTTTGGGAGGTTTTTATCTCGATGTTTCAAAACAAGTATAGCTTTTGGTGAGCCAGTAGCATTCAGACCGGAGTGCATTTGGAGACAGGGCCTGGTTCCGGATTTCGTCAAGGAAAGGCTCACACTTCACTGTGGTGTCTTCTAGAATTTGGTCTCCCGCTCCTGCAACAAAAGATCGCAGATTCTAGGTACGTTATTTTTAAGATTTCTATTTTAAAATCATTGGACCATCCTCAGCCAAAATGGTTCAGCCAAAAAGACAATTTTTTGCTGGTTCAAGAAACGGAGATAAGAAAGAGGGTTCATGCAAGGAACACATTTAGACATCACAGTTGAGAGCATGTGGCTGGGCAAATAGGGAGGACGAGGTGTTTTCGCGCACGGCGACAGCAGAAGCAGAGGGCTGTCATTCTTATCAAACCA